GGCGGGATCTGGTCGGACAAGCTGGAGTAGGTCAGGGAGCTGCCGTCGCTGCTGCTCTGGTACTCGCTGGCGCTGCTCAGGTCGTTGGCGACGTAGCTGCCCTGCTCATCGTGAAAGCTCATCTGTGGCAAAGAGAGGGCGGGTAAAGGCGGCTGAGAGGCAGGCGTGCCCAAAGGGGCCGGGGATGGGGGGCGCGAGGGACATCCCTCTCCCAGGGGAGGCCGGCCTCGCCCTGGCCTCCTTTGGCCCTCCTTGTGGCAGGACTCCTAGAATCATAAGGTTTGAAGGGATCCCCCAAGGGTCATCAATGCAGGACATTCACCACTCCCCCCCCGCCACACCCCCGGTGGAAAGGTAAAGGTTCCCTTGCTCGAAAGCCAGTGGAGTCCGACTCTAGGGTTGCGGTGCTCGTCTCCGTTTCAAAGCCGAAGAGCCAGCGCTGTCCGAAGACGTTTCCGTGGTCATGTGGCCTGCATGACTAAACACCAAGGCGCATGGAACGCTGTTCCCTTCCCACCGAAGTGGTCCCTATTTATCTACTTGCAATTTCTTGCTTTCGAACTGCTAGGTTGGCAGGAGCGGGAACTAGAGACGGGAGCTCACTCCGTCTTGCGGCACCCGGGTCTCGAACTGCTGAACTACTGACCTTCCACAGCCTGCAGTTCAGCGTCTTAACCACTTGAGCCACCTCCAGTGACTGACTATCAAATTTGCTCCTTGGAAGTACATCTCCCCTTGACCAAATCCCACAAATTCAAGATCTGGGGCGGGGCAGTCTTCCTCGTTCGCAAGCCAGTTTTCGACCCTGGCCCATCTCTGCCGGTGGCGTGGAGCGCGGGGGGCCCACCTCTTCGTAATCGTTCTCCGGCGTGAGGAAGTCGTCCACGATGGTGATCCGGTGTCCCAGCTGCTCGCTCAGGGCGTCCAGGAAGCGGTCCGTGTCCCTGCTGCGCGGCGGGCGGGAGAAGGTGAAGAGCTTCTTCCGCCGGGAGAGGGGGCTGAGGGGGTAGTCACCGTGCTTGGGGGAGGGGGCCGGGCTGCTGTCCAGGCTGACGTAGGGGTTGGATTCCGTGCTGCTGGGCGAGGGCAGGCCGCCGAGCGAGTGGTAGTAGCAAGACTGGGCGGATGGGGCAGCGTTCTGCCAGGAGATGGCCATGCCGGTCTTCCGCGCACCTGCAGAGAAGCGAGGAAGACCCCTTCAGGTCACAAAGGCCCACCGTGACTAGGGCAAGCTTGCAGGAGGAATGCTGCTGCTTTCACTATGCCCCTCCTCTCTTGTCCTGGGGGCAGGCCCGTAGCTACAGTGGGGCTTTGGGGGGCTCTGCCCCCTTTCTTAAAGCCACAGCCCCACAAGAATTTCTCCTGTAAATGCTTTTCCCAATCATTTCAAAATTAAAACACTTTTTAAAAGGTATGCACTCCTTTAAGCAGAGTGGGGCGCTGTCGTTGACTAATTCCCGCACTGAGCAAGGGGGTTGGAGTAGGTGGCCTCTAGGATCCCTTCTCACTCTGTGTCAAGAAATGGGTCTCCTTTAAGAGAGTTTTCCTGCCTAAGTTTTGGCTTTCTTGACTGTAGAAGTCATCACCCCCACCTGCTGGCTTGTGATCAGAATTGTTGCTTCGGCTGGCAGAAGTGATTAACTTGCAGCAGCTGAGAACCGTCATCTCAAGTGGTTGACAGCCTGCAATTCAGAGATCTATCCTGGTCACAGCTTTCTATTGGCTGAGTGGCTTTTCTTTCTGCACTGAGAACTTCAGCCCCACCAGAAAAAAAATCTGCCCCACAAGCCACAACATCCTGGCTAGGGGCCTGCTGGAAAGAGGAATCAAGGCAAGACTGACTCCTGGCGACCTTGTAGGGTTTTTAAGGCAGGAGCCGTTCAGAGGTGGTTTGACATAGCCTCCCTCTGCAATAGCATCCCTGGACATTCCATCCAAATACTGACCTGGGCTGACCCTGCTTAGCGTCCAAGATCTGATGAGATCGGGTCAGCCTGGACCATCCAGGTTAGGACTGAAAGACTGCTGGTGGAACATGCTATCAAGTCACAGCAGACGTATGCCCGTAGGCAGGGCTATTTTTGGGCAGGGACGCACAGAAACGGAGTTCCGGCTGGCTCCCGAGTTGGCCACGCCCAGCAGGAACTCATTAGCATAACAGGCCACACCCAACAGCAGAAACTCATTAGGATTGGCTACATTAGGGGTGTGTGGCCTAACATGCAAAGGAGTTCCTGCTACAAAAAAAGGCCCTGGGTTTTGACAACAAACAAGGTAAACAGAATAACAAGCAAAAGGTGGGTGTGGCTGGATAACCACACTTCTGGTAACATGTGGGTGTGGCCTAATGTGCTAATGAGCTGTGCTGTATTGGGTGTGGCCTATTATGCTAATGAGTTCCTGCTGGGCTTTTTCTACAAAAAGAGCCCTGCCCGTAGGGTTTTCGAGGTGGGTGATATTCAGAGGAGGTTTGCCATTTCCTGCCTCTGCGGAGCTACCCTGGGCTCCCTCAGCGATCTCCCATCCGACTAACCAGGGCTCACCCTGCTCAGCTACTGAGATCTGGCGAGATCGGGCCAGCCTGGGCCATCCAGGTCAAGGCAAGAGGTGACCAGAGGCGGTTGGCCATTGCCTGCCTCTGCGCAGCAACCCTGGACTGTCTCGGCGGTCTCCCATCCAAGGACTAACCGGAACCGACCCTGCTTAGCTTCCAACACTGGCAGTGATCAGGCCAGCCCGGGTCGTCCACCAGGAGAGAAAACACTGATTGCTCTTCATTCGGTTCTCGTCATGAAAGATCGTTTTAGTTCCTTCCACACTGCAAGCACCCTACCGCTTGTTGATCTCAGCAGCATCACTTGGCTTCCGAGGCCTCTCCGTGAATCCTGTGCTCCAGCTCCATCCCGGCTGGGCTCGAACCTCTGCTCTGAAGCCGAGACACGGAGGGATTTACCTGCTGAGTTTGCCTGTTCTGAGACCGGAGGTGACGCCCTGTGCGAAGTCAAGTTCCCCAGCTTCCCTCCGAAGCCCGTAGTCAGCCGGGTTTCCAGTTCTGCATAGACGGCTGACATCTGAAAACAAATGGAGTTGCTCCGGTGGGGGTCAGTAGCTGGCCACCCACACCCCTCCCTCCTTCCCTCCGAGGCCAGGCCTGTAACTGGCAGAGGTAGGGTTGCCGGTCTCCAGGTGGGGCCTGGGGATCTCCCGCCTTTACAACTGATCTCCAGCTGATAGAGATCCGCCCCCCCTGGAGAAAATGGCTGCTTTGAAGGGTGGACTCTATGGCATGGTACCATGCTGAGGCCCCTCCTCTCCCCAAGCCCCGCCCTCCTCAGGCTCCACCCCAACGTCTCCAGGTATTTTCCAACTCAGACCTGGCAACCCTAGGCAGAGGGGCTCACCATTTTGGGGTTGGGTGTCTCTGGAAGGGAGGTCCCGTCTCCTGCTTGCCTCTCCCCAGAGACTAGACGGACCGGCACCTCACCGGCTTCACAAGGACCTGCTGGGAAGATGAAATGCAATGCTGAAAGGAAACTTTACTGAAATTCATAAGCACATCAGAAGAGCCCTGCTGGATCAGAGCACGTGGTCCATCCAGTCCAGCATCCCGACTCACACACGGGCCAACCAGCTCTTCTGGAGGGCCAACAACAGGGCAGAGAGGCTGAGGCCTTCCCCTGATGAGAACCTTGGAAGAGCCCTGCTGGGTCAGACCAATGGTCCATCTAGTCCAGCATCCTCCTGTCTCACACAGCAGCCAGCTTGTTCCTCTGGAGGGCCAACAAACAAGGCTTAGAGGCCGAGGCCTTCATAAGAACCTCAGAAGAGACCTGCTGGATCAGACCAGTGAGGGTCCATCCAGTCCAGCATCCCATCTCACACAGGGGCCAACCAGCTCTTCTGGGGGGCCGAACAACAGGGCAGAGAGGCTGAGGCCTTCCCCTGATAAGAACATCAGAAGAGCCCTCCTGGATCAGACCAATGGTCCATCTAGTCCAGCATCCTCCTGTCTCACACAGCAGCCAGCTTGTTCCTCTGGAGGGCCAACAAACAAGGCTTAGAGGCCGAGGCCTTCATAAGAACCTCAGAAGAGACCTGCTGGATCAGACCAGTGAGGGTCCCTCTAGTCCAGCCTCCTGTCTCACACAGCGGCCAACCAGTTCCTCTGGAGGTCCAGCAACAGGGCCGAGAGACCAAGGCCTCCCCCTGATGTTGCTTCCTGGCTCTGGAATTCAGAGTTTAACTGCATCTGAGCCTGTTTCAATTGAGTGATAAGGTGGACTCTAAACAAATGAAGGAAGTATTTTGCAGGGGGGGGGGTTGTCAGAGGAGATGGGATGAAAAGCAAGATGCTCCATTGTAGGGTTGCCAATGCCCAGGTGTGGGCTGGAGATCTCCTGGAATTACAACTGACCTCCAGATGATAGAGATTGGTTCTCCTGGATAAAAGGGCCACTTTGGTGAACATAACATAAGAACATAAGAGACGCCAATGTTGGATCAGGCCAAAGGCCCATCCAGTCCAACACTCTGTGTCACACAGTGGCCAGAAATACCAATGCCATCAGGAGGTCCAGCAGTGGGGCCAGGACATTAGAAGCCCTCCCACTGTTGACCCCCCCAGCACCAAGAATACAGAGCATCCCTTGCTCCAGACTGAGAGTTCCTATCCAGACCTTGTGGCTAATAGCCACTGATGGACCTCTGCTCCATATGCTTATCTAATTCCCTTTTGAAGCCATCCATGCTTGTAGCCACCACCACCTCCTGTGGCAGTGAATTCCAAGTGTTAATCACATGGGTGGACTCCATGGCATTATACCCCGCAGAGGTCCTTCCCCTCCCCAAATCCTGTCCTCTCCCCAGACTCAACCCCCCAAAAAAATCTCCAGGAATTTCCAATCAAAGAGCTGGCAACCCTACCCCACTTGGTGATTTTTGAGTGTGGCAGGGGGGAAGGGAAGGGAAGGAGGCCCCCCATATGAGGCCAGAGGCCTTCTCTCCCCAAATGACTGGACTTGGTTATGACGCCATCCCATGAGTCTGTACTGCACAGTCTGAGCTGCCCCAAACTCAGGATCTCTTCAGGTGGGGCAGTGTTCCCTCTAAGCTGAGTTAGTGTGAGTTAGCTCACAGTGTTTTAGCCTTCGGCTCACACATTTTTGTCTTGGCTCAGGAGGGACGGCTCCAGAGCAAAATGATTTATGCAGCAGCCAAATTGCTCACTCACAGCCTTAATGCCAGTAGCTCACAAAGTGGAATTCTTGATCGCAAGATTCCACAGCTTAGAGGGAGCACTGGAATGAACCAGAAAAT